TGTTCGTTTTCTTTCATGTTCTTTTCCGTTGGGAGGCTTTCATTCAAGTTTCTTAAAAATAACAAGTGCATCTGTAAGCAGTGACATAATGAAGCTATAAATTCTCCATCTACTTATAGTTCTTTAACATTTTACAACGCTCTGCTCTTTTGGGTTAGTCATGACTGAGGGTTTGCAGCATTGTTAAGGGTTTTCGGGGGTGGAGGGTTTCAGCTCTTAATACGCTTAACAGCAAGAGAGCTAGCTGGAAAATACTTGTGTATTTTTAACTTTTTCTTAAAAGGTCTTTTCTGGTTTTTGCATTGTTTTGTCATCTGTGTTCAACACGTTTCGATAATTGATGAATGAGTTAACAGCAGTAAAAAAAAACTGCGAGAAGCATATTTGCCAGAATAATTTCATTTCAGAAACCTCATTTGAGATCTTTAATTTTACTGGAGTTATGATTTTCTTTCTGCTGACCATACAATATTACAAAACATAAAATTTTCCTGGCATGAGTTGAATATCTTGCATAGCTCAACATTAAAGCTTTCTGTAACTTACTTCGGTCCAACAACAGAGCAAAAATTTTACCAATCCTGTCATAAGCAATACAGTTAGGAGATTTTAATTCGACAGTTCTGATAAGTACCTGACTTACTAGAAATTATCATTTTACATAATTTGAGTTTAAAAGGTTGAGCATCAAATGTTTATGACCATCGTGAAATAATTGTAATGTTAAATGAAGTAACTGTAGGCAAACTGCAAACTCCTTAGAGCAATTCTGCCAATTTTGTGTTTTGCCCACAGCGTTCCAATCTCCTGAAAGACTTTCAGTTTTGCAAATCTGCCTGAATGTGGAAGAATGTGTTTGTTCTTGTGATTCAAATACAGATTTGGTGGGAGAAGTCTGTAATGGACAAGTGCCCAGGAGTTACTCGTACCTTTGAAAATTTCCACTTCAGACTTTGAATGGCAAATGCCAGTCCCTTAGAATAAAGATGCAAGTGCTGGTCCAGAACTTGTCAGGCTTAGCTCAGCTAATGAAAAATGTGTGCAACCGGGCCGCCACGTAGAATTCCCACTGCCTTAAAAAATCAGGCAAACTGGTTTGCAGCTGGACATCCTTCACGTACCTCTGAACTGTTGCCCACAGGCATAAGTTGCCTAAGTTGACCTGCTCCTGAGGAGCTCAGATCTGGCTAGGTGTGATTGCTTGTCAAATGCGCATGGGATTTTGAATTTACATAGAGCTGCATATGGGTTTTGATGGTATGCTACAGAGACAGAGTTTTGTGGACGGCTGTAACAGATATTTCCATAGCCCTGGATTTCTCTGTTTGTAACAGAATGCAGTTTTTGATCCAAATATACAAAATAGGCAAGGCAGGTATGCTTTTGCAAGACCTTTATGAGTTGCTCTAAAGACGGTATTGGACTGTTGGTCTGCTAAGCCCTAGTTGTGACCAACCTACACATCTAATTCCAGGGCTTCCTGAAGTATGTTGTGAGATTAGTCATATATAGCATGATTTTAATACAAGTTCTTGTATTAAAAGTTCTGATTGAACATCAAAAAATGAGTGTTACTTAATCGAATCCTCTCAAACACTTTTAGAGAGAGAAATATGTTCTCAGCTTCCTCCTCATTAAACTGGGTAAAAGTTTGTAATATGATGTGATGACAAAAGGGGGAAATTGTTGTCTTATAAATAAAAATTTTTGCTTATTCATGGGTTTTTTCCTCCATTAAAATTCCCTTCCTTTAAAAATACATGCCTGATACAAATACAGTGATACTCCAGATAACCTTAATTTTCCTGTTCTGCCTATTATTTCTCAATTTATAGCCATCATATGATGTCTATGGTGATATAGATACTACACCATAGATCTGTGCAACTGATGTGGCATGACTAGAGCTTCCTTGAAAGCAACATGAAAGTGTGACACATCCTTTAAAGAGTTTCCATTCTCCACAATGCCTGTGGAAAAGGTCGCCTGTGGAAAAGGTTAACTAGCCCCATAGTAAGCAGCAACAAGTAGAGGCTTCTGTAAGGCTAAACCAGTCCTATGTCACACCTTTCAAGATACGAATGGAAGGGAAAAATCTTACTTCTTGGGTAGGCTGTTGCATTGACAGCTGCCTCTAGCTAATCTGAGTGTCATCCACGTCTTCCTGCACAGGGAAGAAAACCTTTTACTCCTGACTGGCCTTTGCTTGCCACATACATGTGGGTCTTGAGTGAGTTATATTAGGACTAAAGAGTAGGGTTTTCAAGAAACTCATCTGGATGGTCTTTTGCCTCTTCCAAGAAAGCACTCTGTATGTGCTCTTTGCAAACAGTTTGACTTATTTTCACCATCTAATTTAACTTCAATAATGAAAAACATAGATTTATAAAGTATAATGCTAGTACCCCTCCAGTGTTACAGAGGGCTTAATGCTTTGGAAAACTTCCACTAAGAAGCCAGCATAGTTGTGAGTTATTAGTATGCTCTTAAAAAAGAGGATTAAAGATTACTTTGATCTACTTACTGCCTCTAAGCATACTCATTCTTTATGTGGGTGTTCAGTTTTCTGATGGCAGTATGTGTAGAGTCTTAGGCTCTAGAGGCTCACTGTCCTCCTACAAAATTTTGGAAGTGTGACATGGTGCTGTACACTTGTCCTAGATTACTCTCCCTGGAGACGTCAGAGATCCTCATTAATGAGCATGTAGTTTCCCAGTATTCCTCCAGGGCTTTCCAGTAAAGCCTTTGTCCATACATTTGTTTAATATTGTTGGAACTGCACTTGGAGCAGGATGATGGAGTTAAACAGCACGTGCAATTTTTGTTCTTTCTGATCACTGCTGAGGGAGGTGGCATTAAGAAGAACCTTTTTAAATAACTGTTTAACTATCCTACTTCAGTGGCATGGCTGGTGTAAAACCTAGAAAGCTAAGTCAGTCAAAAAGGCTGCCACAATAGTCTGTTTCATAAAAGCGCCTCTTGTCAGTTATCTGTGATACCTATTCCCTATAAATCATAATTAGACTAGTCCAAGCTCCAGAGCTTTTCTACCTAGAGCATACATTTTGTGACACAGCAGATTAACCTCAGATCTGGATTTCTTTAAAAGTCCTTTTTCAGTCAATCATGTTTTGCCATGTTTGTTCAGGGTCTGTTTTTCTCCAGTCATGTGCCAGGTGATTTTTTTAAGAAGCATCTTAATGATATTTCGAAGGTTATAGAATAAAAGAAAAAGTTAATGTGGAAAATTATAGTGGTAATTACAATTTATTTTTGAATGTTTGTTGCACACAAGGAATTTGGAGCTAGGAATTGAAACTTGGTATTTTTAAAGCCAGAAGTCCTGCTGATTGTTCAAATTTATAATTTGCTGAGTTATAAGCCATGGAAAAATGGCTGTTTGTGCCACAGTTATTTAAAATTCCTGGCAGTGTACCAGCTTGCGTACACTGCGGCATGGCAGGTTTATGGACTGTGTTATTACCTTCCTGGTGGTATTTCAGGATGTTGCGGTGGAAGTAAAGTGCTTTCCTCAGGACTCTGGCTGCATGTCTAAGTTCAAATTTACTACTCTTAAGGGGAAAGGGAAATGTATGGGTTTAAAAAAATTGATAGGATATTACATTAATTATTCTAGAATTTTTACTCTCATTTGGGGAATAACAGTTTTTATTTGCATGAAAACATTTTTTTCTAACTGAGCGCACAGATATCAGATATCAAGCAAATGAATCTTTAGGTTAATGTGAGGCTGAAAATCATGATGTGCTGGGGGAGTGTGTATAATTTTTTGAGTTGATCTACCTTTGCCTGATATCAACTGATGACTTGGAGCTGAGAGGAAATAATCTCCATCATGCGACTCTTGTCGTCTCGGACAAGCCCCTTAACCCACCTATGCTTTGTAAATTTTCCAGAGTAAATAACTATATCTAATAGCACTCGGTGTCAAACAGACCAATTGGCGCAATCCTTTGGAAGTCTGTTGTGTGATTTCACTTCTGTTCACTGTTAAAACACATTAGCACTCAACATTTCTTAGCAAAGGCTTGTGCAGGCTCCTTGGTGGCAGCACATAGAGGTACTCAAGCAGGGTTTTTTTTAAGACCGTGTTAACAAATGTTTGTTGGCCAGCGTTTCTTCAGTGGCAGCTGGTGCTGACAATTTTGAATCGTTGGGGGTTTTACCCAGGTAGCCAGTATTTAAATTTTGTTAGCAGGTTAGCTCACATAGAATTTTTGGCCCCACATTTCAAGTCTTGGGAAATTTGTCTAAACTATGTCAGTATATTAGGGTTATTTGAAAAAGGAATATGTGACACTTTCATCTGTTTAAACTGAGCTGGATGTAGTGAGTAATATAAAAGTAGTTAGAAATTAGGATACAGAATGTTAGCATATTGTTGAAAGCATTCTAATTGTATTGTGTTTTTGTCACAGTAATCCAAGGGTATCTTCATGTCCTGCAAATCAGTACTTCAGTTTTTGAATGTAATGGAAAGGAATTCTATGGTATCTCTCCTGATTCAGTTTGAAACAAACTTGCAAAACATTTAGTTATGTGTTATTTAGGTATTACCAATCTGATTTCAAGATAAAAGATATTTAAGTATTCTATGTAATACCTCATGAGTAAGATTACTCTTGCAGTAATGTATTACCCCTTTATAGCATGCTGTCATCTTAATTACAGGGGTTGGAAAGAGGAGCCAAAAATCAGTTTTCCACTTTCAGCAATTTCATCACAACTATCAACCAAAAGAAAGAAGGCATCGGAAACAGAAATTCGCCTACGCAACTTGTTATACCCAACATCAAAAATGGTAAGAGAATAAAAGCCTTGTGTTACTTAGTTACCAATTTAAGAAGGTGCTCAGTGTTCTGCCAATATTTGTATTGTGGTAGTGCCAGAAAATCTAGAAATTTAGATTTTATTAAATTATGCTATGCTGTACATTGTACAGGCAGTGATACATATAATAGTCCATCCTCCATAGAGGTTATGTCATAGAGATAAGTTAGATAAGAAAAACAAATAGAGTTGGAGGATGAAATGATCATCTGAAGTTTTAAAGTTACAGATTCAGTAGTCCATCTGCAGATACTGTTTGTCTAACTGCAGTCAGATAACAGTTTCTCTAGAAATTGTGTCAGAACTTTGTGGAGAAGATTTTTCTATTGCCATCTGAAGGATGGCAGGGATGAGGCAAGCATAGAGATTTTAAGGGAGACACTTGCTGAGAGTTGCTGTTTTTCAGTGAAGATGAAGGCCACTCATGACACAAAATAAAATTCACAGGCAAAGATTGGTAAGTTCTGAGCTTTAAAGGCAAGATGGAAGGTTGTTGTGGTATGATGAGGTAACAATAATTGATGAAAAGACAGAAAGTGGAGCTGTGTATTCCGTATGGTCAGCTAGAATCGTGAAGCCTGATGAGATGTCACTGTGGTTAGACCTGAAATTTTTATTAGATTTTTGGGCTAGGATATGGAATTTCAGTAATCTGGGACTTTTGATGAAAGGCTGTACAAACACTTGTCAGGTTTGTACTGATCTTGTCTCTGCGCAGGTCCCTCTCAGCCTTAATATTCTGTGGTTCTCTAAGCCTTTATAGCACTCAATGAATTTGAGGCTGGAAAGAAAGAGACTGCATTAATTAACAGATCTCAGTAGTGCGAGTTTGAAACAAAACTATGGACAGGTATTATTAGTTTCAAAGTTGTGCAGAAAAAGGTGGCTTATACCTTGCAGGATTGGATCCTTATTAAAATAATCTTTGTATCCTTGCTAGCTATACTGCAAAAGTGAAAGTTAATGCAAGATGACTTTTAAGCAATTTCTGTTACAGAGTAAGGAGGTGCTTTCTGCTTTAAAAAAGGGCAATCACTGAAACACAAAAGGTGATTATGTGTAAATGACAGCTCCACGGGATTTTGTACTTTGCTCAAGTCTTTTGTACTACACAAAGGAAACCAAGGTGGCTGGAGATGGCCAGTATAGAATTCTTCCACTGCTGCATAATTTACCAGAGAATTTACCAGATAGAAGTGGTGTTCTTGAGGGCAATAGTTGGGGTAAGGCAAAAAGAAGATGCTGCAAAGCAGGTCAGTGCTCTGCTGATTTTTACAAAGTGCTGTAAGGTCGAGATAACAAAGCTGGAAGAACAACATTCAGGTGGCCATTGCTCTCACCTATATATTTTTAAAGAAAAGTCTTCGTATGTGAATTGCATGTAAACAATTCCAATATTGTTGGAATCTGAAAGTCCTCAGAGAAAGAAAATGTTTTGCCTTTCTCAGTTATCGTTATTTTCTTCAGAAGCTAAAAGTAACCTCTTGTCAATATTAACTACTCAGTTGCTAGCCTTTTTAACAGAAATATGTATGCAGTACATTCATAGACTCCAGTGTACTGCCTTTCATTATTTAAGCCTTAATGGTTTCCTGTCCAGCTTCTGTCTGAATAGTTGCTTAATACAATCTTACATTATGATATGAAAGCCTGCTGCTTAATAAAATTTAGGACAAAGTAAAATTAAATCTAGTATTGGGCCAAGCAATGTGAAAAATACAGTACCCTTTTGCAGAATTCATTTTACCAAATAGAAGAAATCCACCGCCCCCCGCCCCCCCTTTTTTTTGTGCCTGACAAGAATGGTAAACTCTAAACACTTCTCTCTCTTGAAGTGCCCTCAGTTCTTGCTGCACATGATAGTCCCAGTCATAGTTACTGTCTCTTAAGTACTTAGTTGTTAATTTTCACCACACTAATGCAAGGCAATATTTATTATAGTCAAGGATATATTCTTGGAATTGGGCTCAATGGGTAAAATTGAGCAGATATTCTGGTAATTCCAGGATCAGGGTAACCTCCCTATATAAAACCAGATTATTTTTACTAACAGTCCAAGGTGCACTCAGAATTTTGAGGAGGTATGTGTATTCTATGGAAAAAATAATAATTGAAACAAACTCCCTAGTTAAAAATGCTGCTTTTGCTATGCTGGAATTCAGGAATGGTGCTTGGTTGGTGGGGGTTTTTCAGTTTATCTGTGCAATCTCTCCGAATATGTGTATATATGTATGTACATATACTGGTAATACTTTAGGCTTGAATTCAAAGAATGATAACTTCATTGGGGGGAAAAAAAAAGCATGGAAAAGGTAATGCTGGTAAATGCAGCATGAAAGCTAGGGTGATGTTTGTTTGCTATATAGTTGCCACAGAGATTGAATTCATGTAACAAGTCTTCTAATGCAACAATGATCCAGTATGAAATCTGTATAGGAACCAGATTGTTCTAGTTATAAAGTTACAAATACAAGTAAGATTTGTTTGCTTTACCTACTTTGAAAATTGTCATCTGGTCATCTGCCAGTAGCTGTGTTTGTCACTGAAAATAACTGCTGTTCTAAATTCATTCACCCTAAATTTCCTTGTAGTAGTCAATTCTGCTTTGTATCAATGAGGTCATCTTCCTCAAAGTTTTTGATCATTCCCTAAGCAGTCTTGCATTGCTGAGTCCCTTTATGTGATGCAACTGGGCAAACGACCAGAAATGATTGCTTTTTCTTGTCTTGTAATATTGTTTTATTGCTGCCTATCAACTCAATACAAAAAGTTTCTCCTCAATGGAACTCAAGTGACAGATCTTAATTAGTATTTTTGAATGTCAGATAAGCAAATAAATCTATTTACAAATAAACTTGAATTATGGCAAATCACACTGAAGTTGACAGTATTTATTAAACATATTATTAAAACTCAGATTTAGTATATCTAATTTAAGCGGCATATATTTCAAAGAAAATTGCATCACTGACAGGGTGCAAGTTACCAGCTTAGCACCTGCAGCTTCAATTTACTGAAATGAGAAACAGCTTCTGTCAGCAGCTGTCTCTTCTGCAGATGCAGAGAGAATATTTTCCTCATTTCAGTGTATTCAGCTAGTTATAATTCAATGTTTAATCCATTTAAAATTGAGAAGACAGAATGAGAGCTAAATTAAAATGACTTGTCTTTCTCAGAGTATAAAAATAAGACATAGTCTTAGTTTAAGTCAGTCCATCCTTCTTTCAGGGAATGATGTGTAATAGCAGAGCACTTGCATGGTGGGGTTGTTTGGCACCTTGGCTTGAATTAATTTAATATCTGTGTGTCCACTTTGGTTTTTTACATTACTACTCTTCTCTTTAAATAGCTTTAAATTTCAGCTGTGAGAGTGGGCAAGGTTCTGTATCTGTAATCATTGGCATACTGAGGGGACTGAGGGCAGCTCTGATCTATTATCGTCTGATGAATGGTGGCTGAGTTAAGTCACAATGAGTGTCTCTGTCATTAGCATGAATGAAAAGAATCTGCCTTTGGGTTTTGGGGATTTTGTTAGTAACTATTTCCCTGCTGTGCTAAATGGAGTAGGCAGCAGAGTAGTGATACTACTTTGATGTTTAGTTAATTTTAAAAAACAACTCTTGGAATTGTAGTGAAAAGGCTTAGAGGGTTCTCAGACAATTCATAGAGGATTTTAGTTTAATATGTTTGACCTTTGGGGACACTTATTTCATTCAATGTCTTTTGTTCCAAACATACGTCATAATTCATCTAAGTGCTTTTAAAAACATGCATTATAAATCAGACTAAAAAAGCATTTTAAGGATATTTGAGAAGACACTGTCAGTAAAATGGATGTTTGTGTATACTGCATTAGAATATGTTTTTCATGGTTTTGGTGGGTTTACCTTGGCTGGCTGCCAGATGCCCACCAAGCTGTGCTCTCTCCCCGCCTCCTCAACAGGACATGGGGAGAAAATAAGATGAAACAGCTCATGTGTTGACATAAAGACAGGGAGTCCACTTTCCAATTACCGTTACAGGCAAAACAGACTTGACTTGAGGATATTAATTTAGTGCCATTTAAACAAAATAAAAGCAAAACTCCAAACACCTTCCCCCTGCCCCCCCCTTCTTCCCAGGCTCAACTTCACTCCTTCGTTCCCCACTCTTCTACCTCCTTTCCCCCAAGTGGCGCAGGGGGGTGAGGAATGGGAGTTGCAGTCAGCTCATAAAACTTCATCTCTGCCGCTCCTTCCTCCTCACGCTGTTCCCCTGCTCCAGCGTGGGGTCTCTCCCACGGGATACAGTCTTTCACAAACTTCTCCAACACGGGTCCTTCCCATGAGCTGCAGTTCTTCAAGAACTGCTTCAATGTGGGTCCTTTCCGCCGGGTGCAGTCCTTTAGGAATGGACTGCTCCGGTGTGGATCCCCCAAGAGCCACAGTTCCTGCTAGCAGCCTCCTCAGGCATGGGCTCTCCATGGGCTGCAGGGTGGATATCTGCTCCACTGTGGTCCTCAGTGGGCTGCAGGGGGACAATCTGCTCCACTGTGGTCCTCAGTGGGCTGCAGGGGGACAATCTGCTCCACTGTGGTCCTCAGTGGGCTGCAGGGGGACAATCTGCTCCACTGTGGTCTTCTCCACAGGCTGCAAGGGAGTCCTCTTCCCTGTCCTTCTCCACTGACCTGGGGGTCTGCAGGGTGGTTTCTCTCTTTTCTTTTTAATCCCTCCTCTCTCAGCTGCTGTGCAGTGTTTTTTACCCTTTCTTAAATATTTTATCACAGAGGCACTACCAGTGTCACCAATGGGCTCAGTGGTGGGTCTGTTTTGGAGCTCACTGTATCCGAGATAGAGGCAGCTCCATCTCTTCTCTCAGAGGCCACCCCTGCTGCCAAAACCTTGCCACGTAAACCCTATACAATATTCTTGGATCGAATATAAAGTAAGGAGTAGAATAGAAAGACCTTGTTAAAGCACTGTTATTTGTACTTAGAATAGGCAGCCAAATTTCTTGAGAAGAAGTGTTTAAAGATGCTACCGTTTCAACAGTCATTCTCTGAAAGACCGAAAACTTGCATTTCCCATTTAATTGGAGAGATCCTTTTAGAAGTCTGTAGATGATCCACAGTCAGCTCTAGCTAAAATTATATATCACAGTGTAGAAAAACTGACTGAAGACTTGTCCTTATACATCAGAAAATAGTTGGACTTTGCTGTG